TGTAACTTTCATTTCAAGCTCATAACTTTAGTTAAATTTGTTGCTTTATCTGAATTATCTTAACTTCATTAAGTCCTTGTATGAGAATAATTGTCCACTACCATAACCTATAAGAGAAGGTGGTAGATTCCTCATTTGATTTTTGTATTTCAGTTATTTCAATTATATGTTGGCTGCTTTGGTTTGTTACTTAGCTGTTGTTGAAAATCCTTCCCATACACAAACTGTGTAACCAGTAACCTGACCAATATATTAACTGTTTTCTTAAACACATCATGTATGTGTCTTGCTCGTAGTGTTTTGCAACATTTGCTATCATGGCCATAACTCAAATATGTATTTTTCTTTGGTAAAACATGGTTCTTAGTGTTAACTCTGTTATTTTTTTATTTATACCTGCTTGATGCTGCATGTAAATCCCCTTCTCATACATGTTTTTTCAAATGGGCTTAGCAGGCCTTGGATGGCATGGCTTGTTAGATGTATTTGCACTTTGTGTGGTAGTTTGGGCTTGGATCAAGTGCACCTTTTAGAGCCTAATTCCTGATTGTCCACGCCTGTTTCCCTATAGAATGAGTTGAAGCTGTTCCAGAACACCTTCTAGGTGAAGCTAAAGCAGAAGGTGCACTCCAACTCTGAGGGTCATTTTGGGCTTGGGCAAGGGTCTGGGAATAAATCACTTCCTCTCCCCAGAGCTGGTATCCTGTGGGTGCTGTGTCTCAAATTTGCACCCCTGCCCCTTCAGTGCTGCACTGCTTGCTTGTGAGGACCAATGCAACAGTGCTGTTCTTGGACACAGCGTGCTTATAAGGGTCTTGTACTTCTTCAGAAGGTAGATTTGGATGTTGAGACCATAGGAGATCCTTTGCTTGGGTGGGATGTCCCTATTTTGCTTTCTATTTAACTCAATTCAGTATTGCACAGTTAAATAATGCAATAAAAAGTTCAGATATATTACAGTGGTAAGATTTAGTCAAATATCTACGGAAGTTTTTGTGTTAGTTCAGTTGTCTTTGTCCACTAAATATGTAATCTCAAAAGATTTGTTCTAGGAGCATCCACTGGCCATAAATCATGTTGTCTCTGTAGCTATACTGTCTTTTCACTAAATGCTGTCATGATACTTAGGTTAGTATCCAAGTCAATCTAATACATTAATTTCCAAGTTAATTCTTTAAAACCTTTTCACAATCTGTTAAATTTTTTTAAAAACATACCCCACCACACCCCAACCTCCGCCTCTCTAAATCCACTTCATTTTCTTTTTTCTTTATAGTTTCAAGTAATAAAAATGGAAAAACAAAACCAAGCAGTACTGATGGAAATTTCATTTTCCCATAGTTATGTGGGTTTATAGGTTAAAAATATTTAACGATTTTTTAATCTGTATTAGCAAGATAGAGATATTTCAGCAATAAAGCAGGAAGTGAAGTGATCATCCTCGCAGTACAGAATGCAACCTGTTGTGGCAGATAACCCTGAGCAGTTTTCCCTTTAGTCTTCTAGTATTGCTTGGCATTTCTTGTTTGGAGCAACTGTTGTTCATATTTATTTTTATAATCTATCTTCTGTGAAAATGTAGTGCATAAAGCTGAAGAATTATGCTTAAACAGCATTTAATGTTCAGTAGAGGTGGGGGCTGCATACAGTCTTCAATAGAGATGTGGGATGCCTTCATCAGCTCTGAGTTTACTGCTGGATCAGTCTGGAGACTTCCATTTTCCTTAGGCATTTCTTGCATTTTGTTTTCCCATACAATGTGAGTGTTAAGAAACTTACCTGAGAGTTGCCAAGTTAGATTCATGGACCAAGTTTGATGAGTTTTGCATGCTTATGCAAAGCCATGCCACTTGCATTGCTATGTTTTGGTGTCTGTCTGATAAAAAAAGTCTTTGTGGTCCGAGACAGGTAGGAAAAACAACAGCTTTCCTCAGTGGTTCTTCTGGTTTTTAGTTGATTTGAGTCATTTTGGTCTCTGACTGTGTAAATGAAAGAGACACTGTACTAGCTGAAAACACATCATTTCAGTTCTCTGGAAGTTGATTTGTAAATACACTTCTTCCTGCAAAATAATAATCCTTCCTTATTCTTATCTACCTTATACATGGAAATTATTGTATCTTGTGTATTAGCTGACAGTAGTTAATTCTGAAAGCACTTACATGACAGAAGGCAGCTTTAATGTTTCAAATCTCTCAGATAATGTACATCCATCTGTTCTTTAGCAAATGCATCACCTCTCTGCATACTGATGATTTCTGATGTAGCACTGCTTGTAATTAAATTTTGATAATGTATTTTACAGGCTTCTTGGAAAAACAAATTGAGTTTATTCATGCAAATGCAGAGTAAAATGGAAATCACTAATGACTAAAGCTAATTTCATGAACTGATGGTCACTCAAAACTGTAGGAATAATTAAAAATATGTACTAGTGTACATTTTTAATTGGCTGGAATCTCATTTGGGTGTAATAACAGTAACAACAGTGATATTGTTGTCACTTAAACATTTAGTATATTCTTGCATTTGATTACTTTAATGTTTCAAAGCTGACCTTTTATGTTGGTTGCTTACAGTTACAAATTGGAAGTATGCATTAAATTATTGCAACAAATGCGGCATTTGCATTTTTATCAAGTACATACTAAACCAGTAATTGCATATATAATGCTACTGATACTGAAAAAATGCAATTAAACTTTTAAGCTACACCCATGGCTACTTAGAGATACATTTGTAGTGGAAACTGGAATTTCTAGATTGAGAAGATGTAAACCTCTTGTTCAGCTTTTTTTTTTTTTAACTACTTTTTTTTTTCATTATTTAGTGCTTCAACTTTCCAAGTTGAGAAAATAAGGTGTGATATTGTTTTGTTCATAATGCCCAAAGTATGTAGCAAGCCTGATACATAAGTTGTATTACCATCAGATGATATATGCAACTAAATTTGGCTTTTGGTGAAATGTTGTTATTAAACATCACTCCCACATGCTCAGGTTTCTGAGCTTTGGGGAAAGATGTTAAATGAAAACATTTCTCTTAGAGTGCACTCTTTGTGGCATCTTTCTTAAATGCTCCTTACTGTACACAGAAAAATAAACACATTTGCTTTTGCTACCACTTGAATATGAAAACACAGACATTAGCTTCTGGTTTGGGTCATATGCACCCAAGTGTCCTAAAGCTTTTTTCCCATGGAAAAATCAAGAGTCAGCACAGTGTCTGCTTCCTTCCATTGAATGTGTGGTGCTTAATTGTCTTTTAGTGTTAGCATCTCATTCACTGGTCAGAACTTAATGGGTACTTTCTTTGAACACATATTTCAGTGACTGATCTTGTAAGGCTTTATTTGGAGGAATCATCACCTAGGTAGATATGTGGAAATGTGAGAACCCTGTCTTTGGGATGTAAGTAGTGTTTCCCTGAGGAAGAAAGGTGCAGAGAAGTGCAGAATCCCAGCTATGAATCCTCCTCAGAGAAAGAGTGCAAAAACACCTGTAAATGTGTTTCTGTGCCTTTTATGGTACAACACACTGAAAATTATGGAACAGCTACGGTTTCTGGTGCTTTGCTCCCTACTAACCAATAAGGTGAATTGTTTTGCAAATGTCATGGAGCAAAGTTGGGCTTTATATGTTCCCTAGGTTTTTTGTAAAAACAACCAACCAACCAACCAACCAGCTATAAGAGATAGGTGAGTTAAAAAAAAGGAGGGGGTGATGGTGGTGGTGGTTCAGATGTTATCATCCTGTGTGGAAGTACTCATGGAAACATCCTTTACTGCTCCTACTCCAAGGAGGCTCAGAAGTTGTGCTCCCATGCAGAATTTGTGGTGTTGTGCTTTCTGAATCTCTCTCTCACCGTGTGGCCTGCTGAATGTGTGGGGTGGGCTGTGGGCTCCCAAGGACAGTGGCTCTGTACACAAGGACAAAGCTGATTTCTCTCTGCACACACTTTCATGTACTGCTTTCAGAGTGAGTCTGACTGCTTGTTGAGTTGTGGCTGAATTCATCTACTCAACACATTGCTTGAATCTAGGGAAACCAGAGTCTGGATTTGCCAGCCTCAAAGGCTGTATATCTGGAAATCTGATACCAAATTTAATAATGAATTAGTCTGTGTTATAGCCCCCTGTTCTTATATATTGCTTGGAGGCACATGGGTAGCTGAATGCATGAATAATTTGGAAATTGCATTAGTATTTTTCAACGTCTATTGAAATGCACCTAGTTTTGGTCTTTTTTAACATCTCACAGATTCATTTAACAATTATTGTAGCTTCTTAGACTTCAGAGAACTTTACTACTCCTTCAAAAATCCCCATGACCACCATCAATCCATTTTTTTTCCAGGTGAGATAGGTGCCATTTCTGGGCCACACAGGTAGCCTAGTGATGTCTGCTTTTGACCACTGGGCATCTCTCTGGCCAACGTAAGACTTGGCAGTGATAAGGCTGTATTCTAAAATGGGTGTTCTCTTCTTTATTAATCTAAAAGGAAATTAGAATAAAAAGAAATGAAACTTTCAATTATATCTGAAAAATATGCTGCTCTTAATGCATAAGACCAAAAGCAGTTTATTTTTTTGAATAGTATACAAGTCTGTAATCAAATGAGAGGGAAAATAAATGCCATTTGAAATGATCTGTGTACAATTTTTTGCAAGTAATATTGCATACTTGTATCTTCTGTTAACATGAATGTTAATGGTTCTTACAGATTCTCTAGAAGGGCAACTAGTTCTTCTGAATTTTGCTGAATCTGGTGCTTAAAGAGATTATGATCAGACTGTTTGACAGAACAAGTAATTCTCTTGCTAGAAAGCTGCCTGAAGAACTTTTATTTTTTCCTAGTAGTGTGTCAAGTAGAAATTATTCCTTGTTTCCTGGAAGTTTTTAGTTGCCAAGAATAAAACAACTAAATAGATTTTTACTGCTTTATCTAATAAAAAAAAAAAGTAACATTTGTCATTTCCCACTTTTTCTTTATCTCCTTAGAATGTGAAAGCATTTGCATCTTCAGATAGCCTAGCCAAGGTCCAAGAAGTAGCAAGCTGGCTTTTGGAAATGAATCAGGAACTGCTCTCTGTGGGCAGCAAGAGGCGACGAACTGGTGGATCTCTTCGAGGTAATGCTTCCTCAAGCCAAGTAGATGAGGAGCAGATGAATCGGGTGGTGGAAGAGGAGGAGCAGCAGCAAAGACGACAACAAGAGGAGCAGCACATTGGGAGGAATGGGGAGATAGGAGCAGAAGAACCTGGATTTGATGACAGGCATGAGTCTCAGCAGGAGCAGTTAGAAGAAAATAATAATAGACTTATTACAGTGGATGAGGATTCTACTTGTAACCAAGAGGAAGATGATGATGAACATGCTGGTGACCAAGAGGAGGAGGTGGAAGAGGAGGAGGAAATGGACCAGGACAGTGATGATTTTGATCAGTCTGATGACAGCAGTAGAGAAGATGAACATGCTAACAGTAATAGTGTCACAAATTCCAATAGCCTCATGGACTTGCCCATTCACCAGTCATCACCATTCTACGTGAAGACAAAGGTGAGAAGCTACATTTTTTTGTGCTCTTAATCCTCACTAACTTTGGATTTTGGAAAAAATGGCATATCTAGCATAAACTAGAGTTTTACAATGAAGCAAACATTTTATTTCGTAAGGAGCTTTATTTTGTAAGGAGCAGCGACGGATTTGTGTAGTCCATAAAAATCATGCTGTTTTAGCTGTTAATAATAAAAATATTTGCATGCATTTGACATGAGTAAATACCCCTATATAATTTAAGGGATAGCATTCTGATGACTATGGTTAAAATATCAAGATGTTCCTATATAAATATTTTTACGTAAGACCCTCCTGGAGTTATTTATGCTGTTTTCCTTCTCCAAATGGGCTAGAAGGGAAGGTAAGCAATTGTACATGTGTTGTGTTCTCACGCAGGATCTGGTTCATTTAGGTGAAAACACTGTAATGAAAAAGTAGGGTGGAATATTATAGAAACATGAAGTTCTTCCTGCTGGCCTGCTGATTTCCTTGACAAAATACAGGTTAAAAAAAGTGTGATAGCCAGTCATTCAGTTAGGAAGTCATTACATAATGTCTTGTTGCATCCTGCTTGTGAGGACCTTGAACCTGTGTGCTGGTTGTTGAAAACTTCAGATTTGCAATGAGAATCTGGAAATTAATCTTCATATTTTTATTTCTATTTATATCACTTAACATTTTAGATTAAAAAGAAGTTACTGGGGTATTGGTTGCAGTGCACATTTGTAGTTCACTGTATTTTCGAAGATCTTTGGGAAGGAGGAATTCCATTAACTCCGAGGAACAGCAAAATAATGAAAGCAGTGATATTGACTAGTAAGAAAGAGGAGCAGACCAGTGTTCTTCTGGGAGAATGTTCTTTCTAAGTCTATGGACTGATTTCTTTTTCTTACTCATTAATTGTTAATAGAACACCTAGCTTCCTCTCACTTTCAAAACACAAAACCTCCTCAAACTTTTAAATTTTACTTAAAAAATAGTTAAAACCTGATGTAAAATAAAACCACAAAAAAGTCAGTTAACATAAGTTAACAGATTGGCTATGAGCATAAATGTATAGAGATGGATAATCAGTCTTCAAGATGTACCTGAACAGGTAAATAGGATGAATATTTGCTTCTGGAATCTACAGCAATGTTTTTGTTAATAACAATAGTTTGAAATTCACTTCCATGTTTAAAGTATCTCAGCTAATATATTTGATTTTTGAAAAGTTGTAATGTTTTCACATGTGTTTTTTATATAATTTTATATTTATAATTCTACTCTTCAGGGTGCTGAAGTATATGCTTTCTAATTTGGAGTGAAATACTGTCATATTTCATATAATTGAATTGGATTTTACTACTGAAATCCTGGGTTTCATTTCAACACATTGGTTTTCCTGTATTTAGTATATTTTACTGGGTATCATATAGCAAATTGCATCCAGCATGGACAATAATTAATGTAGGAAATTATTATACTCAAAATTATGTTTTTAAGTCTCTGAATTGGAAACTTGCTGAAGTTTCCAATTCCATGAGTAACTATACTCAAATTATGTACAGACAGAGCAGAGCATAATTTTCAGTGGTGGCCAGTTCTGAAGCATTTTTTATTGATTTCAGTAATGAATGTAGCATTTTCTTTCTTTTCTTGAGGCATATTTGACATGAACTGAAACAAGCCAGTTTAGCCTGAAGGAAGATGTCTGAAAGATCTTTGTACTTATCCAAAATTTCTGTGTGGTCTGATAGTTGCTCTGCCTATTCGATGCAGGGCTGGTGATTTTTGTCTGTGCTCTGCCCCCAGGCTGTGCTTCTGCAAGAATTGTTGGGCAGCCAGGTAGCAAACCATATTTGCGATTTTTTTCATGGTACAACTCTGTTTTAGGAAGTTCCCACTTTAGGAAGTATCAGCACAAGTTAGAAAGCTGCTTGAGGTGGCACTGCTCAGCATGATGGTTACACAGTAGAACCGATAACATGCAACATTAATGTTACCAATTCATTAATAAACCAATATTTAACCAGAGGAGCACATTCTGTCTTACAAAGTGTTGGGGAAATACATCTGTGAGAGCATGAATGAATTACTAGAGTAAAAATAAGCATGACTAATTAATTTGCAGCTTTTGAGAAGAAAAGGTGTGTTAGCAGACTCATTAGCTATATTTACAAGTGATTTCTGCTTCTACCTGTTGAGGATAAAGTCATCCTAGGAGACTTGAACTTGGTGGATTTATTTTTAGCTTTTCAGACATGTTTCTCAGTGTTTGTAGTCAATTACAGTTCTCATAACTCTGGCTGAATTACCTTGCTGTGTGCTGTACTCTGTGAAACTTGCTCTGTGCCAGCATTACAGGCAGTGATGGCTGAATGCCCTCCTGCCTGTCTGTGTGTCAGATGTAAACCTGGCTCCTCAGAAGCATTCCTGATGCAACACACTTTGTTCTGCTTGTACATATGGCAGCACACTTTCACCACTACCAAATAACAAGAGATAATAGTGAGTCTGAACAAAATAGCAACTGCTACTACTGTAGGTGTTGTACAACTCATCTTAGTTTTTTTTTATATCTCTGTTCTTTGTCCTTTTTCTTCCTTTCCTCATAAACTACTGCATAAAGTCTTTCTCTAATCTGATTCTTTTTCTGTTTGTTGACCTTCAGAATCCTGTGTGGCTAAGGAAGGAAATGTCATATTTCCCCCATAACACCACAGTGTACCCTGCTTGAGTTTGCTGCTTGTCACCTTAGTAGCAGCAAGCATGCTGTGTTCTAATAGATATATATAAAATATATGAAAATATTTGCCTCATACTACTGCTCTGTGCAAATAACTGATAATTGCTGCCATAATGTTGTGAAAATGTTATGAGTAAAGGGCATGGGCTCTTGAAAGGAGAAGGCTGGTGGTTCAGGAAGGATTTCATTGCATTTACCAGCACCACACAGGAATCCAGAAGGATCCTTGTGGTTACCTTCCATGATTTCCTGCATAAAATAGGCTGCTCTGTGTTGACTTCTGTGCAAGCTAAAGCTTAGTTTTTGAAAAATGTCACTGTTTGAAAACAGGAAACTGTGCAGCAAGGCAGATCTCAAGCCTAGCTTAATAGTTTGTTAGTTATCATCAGTGTTTAAACTTCTCCACCTTTACTCTGCCTTCTTCCTGTTGTATGAATTTTTCTATTACAATTTTGTTTTATTTTCATGTTGTATTGAGGAGCTGTTTAACAAATGGGGCTTTTTTCTCCCTGTATGTTAAGCAATCAAGTTCCTCCCTAAAAGATATCTTAAATGTAAATAATAAGGACAATGTGTCCATTTGGCATATTTTTCTATTTTTTTGTTCTTGTTATGATACTTCTCTGAGCACTCTGGTGTTGGAACATTTCTCTTCAATCACAGATGTCTTTATATCTTGATCAACAATCTGGATGAGGGGATCCAGTGCACCCTCAGTCAGTTTGCAGGTGACATCAAGTTGGCTGGGAGTGTTGCTGTGCTGGAGGGTAGGAAGGCTCCACAGAGGGATCTGCACAGGCTGAATTGATGGGCCAAGGCCAACTGTGTGAGGGTCAACAAGGCCAAATGCCAGATCCTGCTCTTGGCTCACATCAGCCACATAACAGTGCTACAGGCTTGGGCAGAGTGGCTGGAAAGCTGCACAGCAGAAAAAGACCTGGGGGTGCTGCTGGAGAGCAGCTGAACATGAGCCAGTGTGTGCCCAGGTGGCCAAGAAGGCCAGTGGCATCCTGGCCTCGATCATCAATAGTGTGGCCAGCAGGACCAGGGCAGGGATTGTCCCTCTGTACTCAGCACTGGTGAGACCTCACCTCAAATCCTGTGTCCATTTCTGGGCCCCTCACTACAGGAAGGACACTGAGGGGCTGGAGCATGTCCAGAGAAGGGCAATGAGGTTGGTGAAGGGTCTGGAGCACAGGTCCTGTGAGGAGCAGCTGGGGGAGCTGGGGGTGTTTAGCCCAGAGGAGTCTCAGGAGAGACCTTATCACTCTCTACAAATACCTGAAAGGAGGGTGTAGCCAGCTGATGGTTGGCCTCTTCTTCCAGGTAACAAGTGATAAAACAAGAGCAATTGGCCTGAAGTTGCACTAGGGGAGATTTAGATTGCATATTAGGATACACTCCTTGCAGGAAAGGGTTGTCAAACACTGGAACAGGCTCCTCCGGGAGGAGGTTGAGTTAACATCCTTGGAGGTATTTAAAAGACATGTAGATGTAGCACTTAGGGACATAGTTTAGTTTTTGACTTGTAGCAGTATTAGATTAATGGTTGGACTTGATGATCTTAAGAGACCTTTACAACCCAAATGATTCTATGATATCAGAACTGCAATTAAAACAAAGTAGCAGCTGTGCCAAGGACAGCTAAAATTTGTTTATGTGATATATTTACCTATTGATATATCAAATAACTCCATGCATTGGGATTTCATGTTCAACTGATTTGTCTAATATGATGCAAGCCTTTTTCAGAGAGCTTTCTGTTCTGTAAGGTTGGCCTGTGTCCTTTGTACCTACAGAACTAATGCTCAGTTGTATTAAAGTGACCAGAGTTTTCTCACATGTCAGGCCCTTTACTGTTTGTTAATTTTTGCTCCAGTTGATCTGTGTCTTGTCAAATGTTTCTGTAACTGTTTTAAAAATACTAAATAGCACAAGAGAGCTAAGTAAATATATACAGCAGTCTGACAAAAACATGTTCTTGATGCTGATTCTTCACTGATTGCACTGTATTTGTGGCATCCATTTCCAGTGCTCTGTGATGACTTTGTATTAATTGAGTTCTATTGGGTAACAATTAACCACAGCATAAGCAAACAAGTACTCTTGCATCCCATATTTCATAGCAACTGCACTTAAATGCTTTTATCCCGCTACATGTGGGATTCTCTTGCAATGCAAGGACAAAAATGTATTACTGGCAGTTGCCATCACTGTGAAATAGCTCATGTAAATTATCATTCTTGCTTACTTGAGATTTAAATTGTCTACC